TTTTTTTACTTCTTTTTTTTTTTTTTTTTTTTTTTTAAATATTAAATTTTATTTTTATATTCCCCCATACAATTGCAAACGCCCCATTCTGACCCAATCCTTCCCCTCCGCCCCCCCCCCCAAAAAGTGTCTCTGGTTCATAGTTTTTTTGTTGATTTTGATTTTCACTTTCTTATATTCATTTTCCTGGTCCCTTATTTAAGTTTTCTAGATTCCTGCTATGAGTGAGACCATCCGGTATTTTCTTTTTCTTTTGGCTTATTCGCTGAGCATGATCCCTTCCAGTGCCATCCATGTTGCTGCAAATTGCATGTTTATCTTTTTTGAATGCTGAGTAATATTCCATGGTATATATGTACCACATCTTCTTGATCCAGTCATCTATTTTTGGGCATTTGGGTTGTTTCCAAAGCTTAGCTATTGTAAACAGTGCTGCTATAAACATAGGAGTGCAGGTGCTCTTTGGAATTGATGTTTCTGTGTCCTTGGGTAAATACCTAGGAGTGGAATTGCTGGATCATATGGAAGCTCTATGTTTAGTAGGTCCAGAAATCTCCACACAGCTCTCCATAGTGGTTGGACCAGTTTGCACTCCACCCAACAGTGCACAAGAGTTCTTTTTCTCCACATCCTCGCCAACATTTGTTGTTGCTAGTTTTTTTAATATGTGCCATTCTCACTGGTGTGAGATGGTATCTCATGGTAGTTTTGATTTGCATTTCCCTGATTACAAGTGATGTTGAACATTTTTTCATATGTCTGTTGGCCATTTCATTTCCTCTTCAGAGAAGTTTCTTTTTAGCTCTTCTGCCCATTTTTTGACTGGATTATTTTCTTTGTTGTTGCTGAGTCTCATCAGCTCTTTGCAGATTTTTGTGATCAGTCCTTTATCATTAGTGTTGGGTGCAAAAATGTTCTCCCAGTTGGTGGGGTTTCTCTTTGTTTTTGTTATTGTCTCTTTTGCTGTGCAGAGCTCTTTAATTTGATGTAGTCCCAGCTGTTTATCTTTGTCTTCACTATCACTGCTTTGGGTGATGTGTCTGTAAAGATGTCTTTGATGTGCAAATCCCGTAGTGTTTCGCCTATATTTCCTTCTATGTATTTTATGGTTTCAGGTCTTATGTCTAGTTCTTTAATCCATTTTGAGTTGATTTTTTGTATGGTGTGAGGTAGTGGTCAAGCTTCATTCTTTTGCATGTAGCGACCCAGTTTTCCCAGCACCATTTATTGAACAAACTTTCTTTGCTCCAATGCATAGTCTTTGCTCCTTGTCAAAGATTAGTTGACCATAAATCTGTGGGTTTATTTCTGGATTTTCTATTCGATTCCATTGGTCTGTATGTCTGTTCTTGTTCCAATACCATGCAGTTTTGATGATTATGGCTTTGTAGTATAGTTTGAAGTCTGGGAGTGTGATGCCTCCATTTCCTTCTTTTTTTTCAGTAGAGCTTTGGCTATTCGGGGTTTTTGGTGATTCCATATGAATTTCATCAATAATTGTTCTATTTCTTTGAAGAATGCCATTGAGATTTTGATTGGAATAGCATTGAATCTGTATATTGCTTTTGGTAGGATGGCCATTTTAATAATGTTTATTCTTCCAATCCATGAGCAGGGGATGTCTTTCCATTTCTTTGTGTCTTCTTCTATTTCTTTTAACAGTGTTTTATAGTTTTCTTTGTATAGGTCCTTTACCTCTTTTGTTAGATTTATTCCCAAATATTTGATTTTTTTGTTTCGATAATAAAAGGGGTGGTTTTTTTGATTTCTTCTTCTTCAGATTTATTGTTTGTGTATAGGAAGGCTACTGACTTTTGCGTGTTGATTTTGTATCCTGCCACTTTACTGAATTGATTGATGAGTTGAATTAGTTTTTTCTGTGGAGATTTTGGGGTTCTCTATGTATATTATCATATCATCTGCAAATAGTGATAGTTTGACTTCTTCTTTTCCTATTTGGATTCCTTGGATGTCTTTCTCTTGTCTTATTGCTCTGGCTAGGACTTCCAGTATTATATTGAAAAGCAGTGGTGAGAGTGGACATCCTTGTCTTGTTCCAGATCTTAATGGAATTGCTTTCAGCTTTTCACCATTGAGAATGATACTGGCTGTTGGCTTGTCATAGATGGCCTTTATGATGTTGAGGTATGTTCCTTGTATCCCAAGAATTTCAAGGGCTTTTATCATGAATGGGTGTTGCACTTTGTCGAAAGCTTTCTCAGCATCTATTGATATTATCATATGGTTTTATATTTCTTTTTGTTGATGTGTTGGATAACGTTGATTGATTTTCGGATGTTAAACCATCCTTGTGCCCCTGGAATGAATCCAACTTGGTCGTGGTGAATTATCTTATGGATACATTGTTGGATTCTGATAGCTAAATTTTATTGAGGATTTTTGCATCAGTGTTCATTAGGGAGATTGGCCTATAGTTTTCCTTTTTGTGTTGTCCTTATTCGGTTTTGGTATTAGTGTAATATTGGCTTCATAGAACGTGTTTGGTATTGTCCCTTCCTTCTCAATTTTTGGAAGAGTTTGTGAAGGATAGGCACTAATTCGTCTCTGAATGTTTGGTAGAATTCATTTGTAAATCCATCAGGTCCTGGGCTTTTGTTTTTGGGAGGTTTTTAATTACCATTTCAATTTCGCTGCTTGTAATTGGTCTGTTTAGGTGTTCTATTTCTTCTTTATCTAGCTTTGGGTGATTGTAGAGTTGTAGGAATTTGTCCATCTCCTCTAGATTGTTGAACTTGTTTCCATATAACTGTTCATAGTAGTTACTGATTATTCTTTTGATTTCTGCTGTGTCCGTTGTGATTTCTCCTCTTTCATTTATGATTCTGTGTATTTGTGCTTTCTCCCTTTTTTCCTTTGTGAGCCTGGCTAGGGGTTTGTCTATTTTATTTATTTTTTCAAAGAACCAGCTCTTGGTTTCATTGATCTTTTGGATTGTTTTTTTAGTTTCAATTTCATTTATTTCTGCTTGGTTTTTATTATTTCTTTTCTTCTACTGGTTCTGGGGTTTTTTGTTGTTCTTTTTCTAGATCTTTGAGCTTCGAGATTAGGTTGTTTCTTTGAGTTCTTCTTGTTTTTGATGTGAGCTTCTATTGCTATATATTTTCCTCTTATTACTGCTTTTGCTGCATCCCATACATTAGGATATTGGTGTCCTCCTTGTCATTCAATTCAAAGAATTTTTTAATTTCTTCTTTGATCTCCTCGTTAGTCCAGTGGTCTTCCAGTAGTGTGGCTTTTAATCTCCATGAGGTAGGATAGTTCCTTGCCTTCTTTTTATGATTTATTCTAGTTTGATGCCTTCGTGGTCAGAAAAGATGGTTGGTATGATTTCAATCTTGGTGTATCTGTTGATGTTTGTCTTGTGCCCCAGTATGTGATCGATCCTGGAGAATGATCCGTGTGCGCTTGAGAAAAATGTGTACTCCGTTTTTTTTGGGTTTAGTGTTCTATAGATGTCTGTTAAGCCCAAATGCTCTAGGTCCTATTTAGAGCTTTAGTTTCTTTACTTATTTTTTGTCTTGTTGATCTATCCATTGTTGATAGTGGTGTGTTGAAGTCTCCCACTACATATGTGTTTTCTCTGATGTCTGTTTTCAGAGAGGACAACAGTTGTCTGATATATTTTGGTGCTCTTTCGTTTGGTGAGTATATGTTAATGAGTGTTATTTCTTCTTGAAGTATTGTCCCCTTAATCATAATGTAGTGACCATTGGGGTCTCTTTTTATTTTTTTGAGTTTGAAGTCTGTTTTATCTGATATAAGTATAGCTGTTCCTGCTTTCTTTTTTGGCCCATTTGCTTGTAGGATTGTTTTCCATCCTTGACTTTGAGCCTATTTTTATCTTTTGTAGCTAAATGGTTTCCTGGAGACAGCAAAGGTTGGGTTTTGTTTCTTAATCCAGGCTGCAACTCTGTGTCTTTTTATTGAAGAGTTTAGTCCATTTACATTTAGAGTTAATATTGATATGTTAGCATCTGTATTTGCCATTATGTTTGTCTTTCCTTTGATTTTATTTATTTATTCTTTTAATAACTTTTTTTTTTTTGGTCTTCTTTCGTTGTTATTCGTCCCTCTGAGGTTCTGGCTTTAGGATTCCTTGTAGTATTTTTTGGAGTGGGGTTTAGTCGCAATGAAATTCCGGAGTTTCTCTTTGTCTGGGAAGGTCCATATTCTTTCTTCATGGAGGAAAGAGAGCTTTGCGGGATAGAGTATTCTTGGTTGGCATCTGTTTTCTTGGAGTCTGTTGACTATGTCCCTCCACTCTCTCCTTGCCCGTAGTGTTTCTTCAGAGAAGTCTGATGTCAGCCTGATTTTTTCCTTTGAATGTTATCTGTTTCTTCCCTCTTGTCAGCTTCATTATTTTTTCCTTGTCCTGGATTCTTGGGAGCTTTACTATTATGTGTCTTGCTGTGTTTTTCCTTTCGTCGTGGAAGTTTGGTGTTCT